CCATGTGTAGCTGGCAGCCAGCGTAAGCGGCTGGCAGCCGGTGTGAGCTGCCAAGAGCTGCTGTGAGCAGCCATCTGGTAGCTGGCGACCGATCTGCCTCAGCCGGAAAGAGCACAATGATAATACCAACATGGGCCAGTGAAGCTACGTCCTCCAGAACTAGACTGAAGAACAAAAGGACAGCAACTTGTCTGTTCCCCTCCCCCAATTCCCCAATAAAATCTTTAAAAAATAAAAAGCTTAACCAGGTTAAGCTGGGTGGTGAGTATAAAGGTGTTTGTTTTATTACAAAATATGTATATTCTGTAGTATAGTCAGCCTTCCGTATCCGCGGTTCTACATCTATGGACTCAATTAACTGTGGATCAAAAATGTTTGAAAAATGATGTTACATTGCTCCTGACGTGTAGTGTGTAGTTAGGCCTAGGATGTTCTGCGTCTGTACTGAATAGGTACAGACTTTTCTTTCTTGTCATTATTCCCTAAACAGTACAGTGTAACTAGTTACACAAAGCAATTACATTGTATTAGGTATTATAAGTAACGTAGAGATTATTTAAGTATACGGGAGAACTAGTGTAAGTTACATGCAAATATATGCCATTTCATAAGGGACTTGAACACCTACAGATTCTGGTGTCCTCAGCAGGCAGGTCCTACAACTAATCCCTCACAGGTACCTAGGGTAACTGTATGTATATAGTGTACATATACTTCTTCTACATATATTCTATATTGAGATGATATGTATTTTTATACATATATTTCATAAATTTAAAAATTCAGTGACCCTAACTTTCCAAAGAAATACAAAAAAATTCCATTCATTTCACTTAATAAATAGCATTTTTCAACACATCTTTATCTAGGATTATCAACTTCGAGATTACAATAAAGTTTCTTACCTCATATTCCATACAAGGATCTGGGGAGTCATCAGTACAATGGATGAACCTTGGAGGGGACAAAAAAAGGCACCTGAATCTTTTTTTAATGGTGTCAGTTTATGCTCACACATTATTTATATTTAATGTGGGATTAAGCACTCAGAAACAGGAAACTAATTGGAATTCAGTGAACATGTAAGAAGCACTACTTGATGCCAGGCGTTACCCTAGGCACCCTGAAATGTTGTCATGAGTCCTTAATTAACCATACGAGCTACTATAAACCTCTACTGTTCTATCAAACAAGTAACTAAGACCCAGAAAAGACCAACTGAGTGACGATGCCAGGACTGTAACTCAAGCTAAGTGCAGAGTCCAAATGCAGGCAGGATGGCGCTGCTGATTTTCAGTTCTCATTGTGTGATTGTTGATGGCTGAACCAGAGATCTCTGCAGATATTAACTCTGCCATCTAAAGCCACACAGTTAATCTAATTCTTCTCCCACATGCCATTTAAAAAAGTATTTGTTAGAATTATTCATTCTTCCATTAAGTATATTGCTTCTCCCCCCCCAAGAATCCTCTGTTTCATGAACAATTTTTCATTGTTTATTAAATGTTACCATGAACAATTTTTCATATTGTTTATTAAATGTCTACCTATGCCAAGGCCTGGCTGGGCACTGGGAATGCTAAAATGATTGAGTCCTTGTCCTTGAGGTCAGTCTGGAAAGGAAAGCCCTAAGTAGATGACAAATTTCAAAACACTGAAAACAAAAATAAAAATATTCTGCTGACACAAAGGAAGAATTGATTAGCTCTGTTTATGTGTGTGTGTGGAGGGGGCGGGTAGTCAAGAAGCCTTCACTCACAGGAAGAGGAGGGTCTGCGTTTAAGGCAAAGAGAAATGGGTGCTGAGGCAGGGAAGGAGGCAACACATCACAGTCTCACAGAATTACTGGAGGGCAGGACCGACAGAGTGTAGAACACAAGGGGAGACTTGGCAAAAGATGACGTCAGGAAGAAATTTTGGACAAGGCGTCTCCAGATCATGAAGGCTCTTGTATGACTACCAAGGGCAGTCGTACTTTATTACACAGACAATGGGGAGCTAGAAGTTTCGCAGCATGCGGGAGATCATTTCATTTAGGCTTTAGGATTATCAATCACTATGCAATGGTACTGGATAGCTCGGGCAGGCAGAGACCAGCTGGGAGGCTGGTTAAAACAGTCCTGGGGACACATGAGGGTCTGACTGAGGCAATGGCAGTGGAGAGTGAGAGGGGAAGTACTAGGTGAAGATATTTCGGAAGCAGAGTCACATTTCTTGGTGACTTGACTGAAAAGTGAGGGACAAGGGAGGGCCCAGGATAACTCTGGGTGTCTGGCTTTGATGACGAGCTGGATGGTGATGGGAAGGCTACTCACTAAGGCAGAGGAAAGGCAGGTGACATGGGGCGAGGAAAAGATGGGACACAACTATGTCTGCGTGTGCAGAGCTGGCGACATCCTAGGAGAACCACATAGTAATGTCTAGTAAGCAACTGGAAATTCAAAACACAGGGAGGAGCTCAGGAGATTATCTGGAAGTTATCATATGGGGTATAAGAGCTAAAGTCAAAAAAGCAGAAGTGGGCCGGCCGAGTGGCGCGTTGGTTAAGAGCTGGCTTGGGATGCCAGAGGGCCCCGGTTCAGATCCCACATATGAGGGCCAGTGACACTGCCCTCTACAGCTAAGATGCTGAACAACAGCTTGACCTGGAGCTGGGCTGCCGTGAGTTGCCAGCGACGACAGGTGGGTTGCCATGGGCTACCGTGTGTGGCCAGCAGCCAGCGTGAGCGGCCAGCAGCCGCTGTGAGCGGCCGTCCAGAAGCCGGCGACTGATCCACCTCGCCTGGGAAAAGCGCAATGATGGTGCCAACTTGGGCCAGTGAAGCAATGTCCTCCACAACTGGACTGAAGAACAAAACGACAGCAACTTGTCTGTTCCCCTTCCCTCAATTCCCCAATAAAAATCTTTAAAAAAAAAAAGCAGAAGTGGTCACTTCGGGCAGATGACAGAATCCTGAGGGATACTGACAATAAAGAGTGAGCACAACTTGCAGTCTAGAGAGATTTTCATAACAACACACAAGCAAAACAAAAAACATCTTTTAAGATGTCTTACGCAATTTACAAGTAAAATTGAGTTTGAAAAGCTTTTACATTTCCCTGAATATTTAATTAGGTTGAATTTCTCTGTGATTCTTTATGATTTGTACTACAAACAACAGCAATTCTAATTTATTTGGCTGGCTGAAATCCTCAAGCATAAGAACTTTTATTCTGACTAATAATGGGGCACTGACTGGTATAATCTGAATTGCAAAAAAAGGTGCACAGAGGGTGCTCTGTTAAAGGGGGCTCTCTGTTAGTGCACAGGCACCACATGAAGCATCTCACCATCTTACATTTGCTACCTCTTTAAAGCCTTGCAACAATCCTATCTGCGAGTGCTATTATTATCCACATTTATCACGTGAGGATACAAAGTGAGGAATTAAGTAAGTGGTGGCGAGCACACTGAACCACACGCTGCACATTTCTCTCAGGGATGAAAGTTCTAGAACTATTGTTAAAGCTGTCAGATTTTAATTTAAACACAGACACACACACACACACACACACACACACACACACACACACACAGCGGCAGGACTTTAGGCTCAAGCAGTACCACTGCTAAAAAAAAGGGGGGGGGGAGATCTACCATTAAGCCATCCTACCTCCATAATATAACATGGATCTTCCAAAAGAACAATTTGTAAAACTTCTGTTTTTATACATTCCAGCACACACTGGTGCTATCTGAAGATCTCATTTTCTTCACAAAGCAAAAATCCCTTCCTTCAAATCAAACTAATTTAAAGGTATGTTGCCCTGAGGAGTTATAATCTAAAACCAGAAAATTAGCTTTTAATTTACTTTAAAAATTTTAAAATAAGAATCTCATAGGTTGTTTATGTTAATCAAAATTAAGGTCATGAACTGTCAAATTAGTAAGAATTAACGTAATTATTTTTATCCTTAAAAACCCCCACCCTTCTCCCTCAAATCAGCAGGTTGATAAGCATGAAACACATTTCTGGAGTTTGCTGCCATCCACTTTCTAACATTCAAGAGAATTATGCTTGGATGCAGAGCTGTACAGAGACAAGTGAAATACCCTACATTTTTACTTCTGCATTAAGGAGTAGAGGAAATGTTCCAACAAATATAAAAAAAACAGGCAGAGTTTTTAAAAAATCAGGATCCTGGGCTCTGTACTGGCATCACATGATCTTGGAAAAGTCAGTTAATTTCTCCGGCTGGATCTTAGTTGCCTCAGCAATAAACCGGTAGATGGAATTAGGTGATTTCTGAAGTTCTCTCTGCAAATTCGTGGACGACTTGCCAGGTCTCCTTTTCTTCCCTTTCTGTTTTCCGTTAACCAATGGACTTGCACATTGAACCCCAGGATGTCTGAGCTTCTAGAACACAAGTTTGAAAACGACTGTACATTAGAACGGACCTAAGCTGTTCTCTCAAAATACATTCCAAGAGAGTCTACCCAGTACCATGGGCCCAAAACAGAGATCAGACACATACATCACAGAAAAGGTGATTTCTGAGCAGAATCTCCAGTCCTAAAACTGTAAGAGCTTCTTGGGAAAATTGATATGAGATGCCTGTTGGCCCATTCTAGGCCTCTTTAGTAGATCTACACCATTCTTGGGGAAATGAAGAAGCAAGGAAAAGGGAGAAGCATCTAGTCTGAGCAGCTGGTAGCCCAAGCATGGCCTTCAAACCATGGCTTCTGCTAAAAACAGTCAGTTGGGCTCACCTAAAATCCACTAAAGTCACCACAGTATTTCAGCAACTTCGCAGATGCTACAAAGTGGCCACTTTGCTCAAAACCTCCAAATCTGTGGCTAAAATAGATTCGAAGTCCTTGATCATTTCAAAAGATTCCCTCACCTTTTATTTCTATTTTAACAGCCTGAACATTTTAATTAGTAAAAATGCTAATAATTTTACAAATTCTATTATAAAAATTCTTTTTTTTTTTTAAAAGATTTTATTGGGGAATTGGGGGATGGGAACAACGCTGGGGAATTGGGGGAAGGGGAACAGACAAGTTGCTGTCCTTTTGTTCTTCAGTCTAGTAGTGGAGGATGTTGCTTCACTGGCCCAAGTTGGCACCATCATTGCGCTCTTCCCGGGCAAGGCAGATCAGTCGCCGGCTTCTGGACGGCCGCTCACAG